CACACACAAGACGCACAACGAGAGAAGAAGGAGAGGGAAGAACAAGCAAGCAAGCGAAGTGTGCAGAAGCGCAGACCACCACACCCCCTCACTGTCGCTGTCGCTGCTGTTGAACACGATACGCACCACCGCCTGTGCAAGCCATGAGTGAGCTGTCATTGGGATCGTTGCGGGTGCCGCTGTCACTGGACCTGCCGCCAGTGGAGGTGCCAGATGCGGTGAGGACTGGCCTCAAGTGGGCGGGCATCGTGGTTGGTGCTGGCGCATGCACCGTCATGGCCTACCACACTGTTGCCGCCATCGTCTGCCGCCCCGCTCCCTGGTTCTCCTTCATCTCCTACGGAAAGGTGTGTTTGGTGTGTGTGTGTGTGTGTGTGTGTTTGTGTCTGTGTCTGTGTGTGTGTGTGTGTGTGTCTGTGTCTGTGTGTGTGTATGTGTGTGCGTGCGTGCGTATCTGTGTGTGTGTGTGTGTGTGTCTCTGTGTGTGTCTGTGTGTGTGTGTCTGTATGTGTGTGCGTGAGTGTAAGAGAGAGAGAGTGTGTGTATGTCCGTGTGTCTACATTCGCCTGGGCCTGTGTGTGTGTCTACATTTGCCTGTGCCTGTGTGTGTGTGTCTGTCTCTGTGTGTGTTTGTCTCTGTGTGTGTCTGTCTCTGTGTGTGTGTGTGTGTCTACATTTGCCTGTGCCTGTGTGTGTGTGTGTGTGTGTGTGTGTGTTTCCACGCACCTGTTTCTAAACCCCCTGCAACCCTTGTCGTTCTGCCAACCCACATCACCGACCCACAGACCAAGATGACGACGCCGTATTCGTTTGAGGACCCGCGCTTCTACCCGCGCGCCCAGCTGCCGTGGCTCGGGCAGCTCGAGCAGCACTGGGAGGAGATCCGCGACGAGCTGCAGGCCTTCCTGCGCACCATGCCCGTCCCCTTTGTGCCCTACTTCCGCCCAGACCTCGTCAACAAGGCCGGCGCGTGGAAGACGCTCGGCCTCAAGGCGTGGGGGCTCGAGGATCGCGCCATCATGCAGCACTTCCCAAAGACGTGCAAGGTTCTGCGAGACCTCCCCGTGCCCGTTGTCGGCGTGTCGTTCAACCACCTCGAGGCGCGCGGCGTGGTGAAGGCGCACCAGGGCAACACCAACGCCATCGCCCGCGTGCACCTGGGCCTAAAGGTGCCCAAGAACAAGACGGAGGACTGCTACTTCAAGGTGTCGAGTGATATCCGCCCCTGGCGCGAGGGGCAGGCCTTTGGGTTCTGCGACGCGCACTGGCACACGGCGTTCAACGGCGCTGACGAGAGCAGGTACATCCTCCTCTTCGACGCCATCCACCCGGAGTACACGCACATGACCACGTACATCTGCGCGCGTGTTGTTGCGGACCTGGCACTGCAGTACTTTACCGGCCGCATTCGCCTGATCCAGTGGCTCACCAAGGTTGCGCCCACCCCGACACGTCTTGTCCTCTACAACACCTTTGTTCCCGTCTTCCACGTCCTTCTCCTGATCAACCCAGACTTTCTATCCTTCTTCTCGTAGTGTGATTGCGTGTGTGTGTGTGTGTGGGTGTTATGTGTGTGTGTGTGTGCGTGTACATGTGTCTGTCTGTCTGTTTATGTCTGCGTGTGTGTGTGTGTGTGCGTGTGTTTTGTGTGTGTGTGTGTGTGTGTGTGCGTGTGTGCGTTAGTGTGCGTCAATCTTTTGCTCTTTGGAGACGCGCAGCCCCCTTCCCCACCCACAGCCGTGCTTGTTTCGGCAGCTTGCTTGCTCGCTTGCTTCTTGTAGCCATTTGTCGGTTCTCTTTGTCACATTGATCGCCTTGACGCTGCGTCGTTTGCGCCTGCTGCTGTAGCCTTCAGCTTTTCTCCACCACCTCCACTTCCTTGGCTCCTCTTGCTTCACATCCACCATCATCAACAACGCTCGTTCGCTTGTGAGCGTCGCCTGTGTCCCGCCATCACCGCTTAAACGACTTGGAAGCTCCCGCAGATAGAGACACACAAACACAGCAGCACGCACGTGTATTAGCATAGATATCGACACTGCGTGTGTGTGTGAGGAGGGGGAGTGGACACACACACGTACACACACACACGTACACACACACACACACACACACACACACACACACACACACACACACAGGACGAACACGAAACCTCCTCGTGGAAACACAACAAGGAGGCGGGGGAACATGACGAATTATTAAGGTGCAGTTGACAGAAGCTAGTGAGAAAACCGACAGGACAAAGACAGTAGCAGGCTGAGAGGACATGCGCGCAGAGACAACGAAGGAAGAAGACAAAGTAAAGCAAGAGGAGCAGGAGAAAGAATCATCATTGACTCAAGTGGGATAAGTTAAAGCGAGAAGCACCCAAGAAATGAGCGTGGTGGATGTACGCTTCATGCACAGGCACGTACATACACAGCACTCACGTACATACACACATGCACGTACATACACAGCACTCACGTACATACACACATGTATGGACATCCGCAACACTCACGTACACGTCAGTGCTGCTGCGTGTCCGCTATTGCGCGAATGATGTTGTAGAATGCATCGCCAGGCTGTGGGGCCGGCAAGTGGTAGGTGACGTTGTGTGCGAGGTGCGCAAGACGCACGCGCTTCGCCACCCGCTCGCGTCGCGAAACGTGCCCAAGAATGTCGAGAACACGTGCAGCGTCCTTCTCCGGCACGCGCACGGACGCGGCGTCCAGTTCCGCCGCAAGGTGCGGAAAGGGCCACGTGTACCCGTCAGACACAATCACGGGGATGCAGCCCACGAGGACAGCCTCGAATATGCGCCGCGTGCCAGCTGTGAGGCCACGCGGGCACAGGCAGAACTCCGACGTGGCCATCTCCGCAAGCGTGTCGCGCACAACCTGACGCACCAGCAGTGAGTGGGAGGAGCGGGGATTCTTGTCCTGCATCATCTTCACCTGCGCATCGTGAATCACGCAGTGCGGGTGGCCCTCCACCGCCTTCTTCAGCACCGTTCGCACGCGGTTGTTGGACAGCGTCCCTGCGAAGAAGAGAAACGTGTCTCGGGCACGCGCTGACGTCTGCGGTGCACGCACACCATTTCCCATGCGATTGCTGTTCGTGCTGCTACGGGTGTTGCTGCTGCTGGTGCTACTGGTGTTGGGGTTGGAGTGTTGAGCGCTCCGTGCTTGCCCCTTCCTGCTGATCACTCGCGGGTTGCTCATGGCCCACGTGGTGCTGTACTGCTGTTGTTGCTGCTGCTGCTCTTGTTGCCCTTGTTCATACGTTTGCTGCTGTTGTTGTTGTTGTTGTTTTTGTTGTTGTTGTTGCTGTTGTTGCAGGGTGACGTTTTCTGCCAGCGCGGCCACGGCCGCCGGCACATATGGCGGGATCTTGATGTCGCGACCGCGGATGAATCGGAGGACGCCCGGCCGCGGGTCGTCGTCCTCAACAGCGAGGAAGCGCACGCGGCTGTTGGCGCGCAGGAGGCGCAGCAGCGTGGGGCCCAGCAGCCGCTCAAGTGGCCGCTGCGACGACCACACCAGGATATGGTCGCTCCCGCGAGACCGCTGAAACCACGGGCTCGATGCCAGCTCAGACAGCAGCGCGTCCTGCAGCCGCGGCAGCAGGTCGCCCTCGTACATGCCAATGCGCCCATAGAACCTGAGGGTGTGTGTGGGGGGGGGGAGGGTTAGGTGGTGGTGGTGAAGATGGTGGTGGTGGTGAGTGTGCTGGGGGACAAGCGGGGAGGGGGACAGAGCGATGGCATTCTTAACACAAACAAACACGCACGCAGACACACACAGACGCACGCACGCAGACACACACTGCCCGTGACGTACGGGAGGAGAAAATGGGTGGCATTTGCCGGATCCGTGGTGAAGAGAGGGCTGTGTGCGGCATGCAGCAAGTTCTCATGAAACACGTGCTCGGGGATGTACTGGTTGTGCTGGTTCCATTCGTTGTACACCCACCCTCGGTTGCGGTCCAAGATCTCCGCATTGATGGCGGCAAGCTTCGACGTGTTGCGAAGCGGGTACACGAAGAACCGCACGCCACCGTGCATGGACGGTGCCGCTACAGCAGGCCCTCCCCTGCTCCTTGTCGACGCTGGCCATCCAGCGTCCGACTCCACAGCCGCTGCCGCCACCGCCACCGCCACAGCATCATCAACATCGCCGTGCCCTTGCTCTTGCGCCCTCGCGCTGCCACTGGCAACCAGCAACCCACACCCTACCACACCCACCACAACAGCCCACAACAAGCGACCGTTGCTGGTGTTCGTGTTGTTGTTTTTCATCGCTGGTTGCTGAAAAGTGGTTGAAACCATTCACCAATCCTCCACAACCACCACAAGAAAGCGCCACCCAACAACAACAAACGCCTGTCACTCTCCTCCTCTAGCACACACCCCTGTCCTCCTCACACCCTTCCTCCTTGTCTCCTTGTCCTGCTTGCTTTGCTTGTCCGTCTGTCATTCTGGGGGCATGCGAGGGCTGCTGGCGATTGCGCTGGTGCTGGCGATAGCATCTGCGCTTGGCTGTGCCCATGCGCAAGCCTCACGCACGCTTGGCAGCGTTGCGTCAATGACACAACCACCAAAACGCCTCGCCTCCGCCGAAGAAGAAGAAGCTGAAGCGTTGTGCTCACCCGATTCTTCTGCGGACAGCGACGCGATCGCATCATCTGCTGCATCAATCTTGCACGTTGGCTGTTCTGCGCACAGCACGCTGTGCCGGGAGGCCAAGGCTGAGCTGCAACAACTGCTGCAACTCGTTCACCGTGCACCCCACGTTCACAACACGACTGGTACTGACGTCGACGACAAGAGCGGCAACAGGACAGGCGACGGGGCGTCTGACCCACCCCAACCGCAAGCAACTGCCACCGCGCTGCAACGTGCACTCACCTTCTTCTGTGACAGCGGCAGTGGAGGAGTTGACTCAGATCGGCTTCATCCTGTGAAAACACAGCCAGCGCACCAAGGAACGCCGCTTGCTGCGGACGTGCCAACGCTAAGAACGCCAAGCAACGGTGACTTCTTCGGTGAATCCGCAGCAGATCCTCCGCTGTCACGGCCACCACCTGGCGTCCAGAAACACCAGCGATCAGCTGCTCCGCGTGGACGGTTGCAGTCCAGGACCCGCCGGAACGAAGAGGATGTGGACCACGCCGTGTGCACGTTGTCCAGCCTGCTTGCTCTCAACTGCAGCTCGCCTCCCACCGCTGTTCCCACGAGTACGTTGGAAGTTATTGTGGATGCTGTTGAGGAGCTGGGCGCCCTCATAACACAGCCTGACCCCGACTTCGACAGGGCTGTCGCCGCAGAGTATGTACTACAACAGACGGACACTTGGAAGCCACGAACTCTCGTTGTAAGCGGGCTGGTGTACTTGGAGGATTTGGTGTGGCTGCTCGACAGCGGCACTTGGGGCAATGCGGTCAACTTCAGGCTGACTGGTCTCAACACGCCCACGCTATGTCTCAACATCTTCAACCCCTTGCGGAATGTTCGTAACATTCGCATCTCGGATGGCCATGTAATTCACCTCGCCCAAACGTGCAGCGATGTTGAACCAACGTTCCGACCGGGAGTGTTTCTGCAAGAACTGCGCCTGCAGCGCATGAACATTCGCAACATCGCAGATAACACGTTTCGTAACATGCACATCGTCCACACATTTGATTTTCGAGACAACCAGTTAACGGCCGTCACAAACAGCACTCTGTTTGGGCTGAATCATCTAGTCCTTCTGCAGCTGCGCGACAACCACATCAGCGCGATTGAAGATGGTGCATTTGCTGGAAAGACACGGCTTACAACTCTGAACTTGATCGAGAACGATCTTACGCAACTGTCGGAGCGTGTGCTATCGCCACTTACGACGCTGCGAATCTTGCATCTGAATACCAACCCCCTCAACGCACTTGCAGAGAAAACATTTGCGTCCCAAAGGAGCCTGCGTTCGCTGTTCATGAACAACTGCAATCTACAAAGATTGCCACCCAGTGTGTTTCAGAACACAACTGCGCTTGCTGACATCCGCATCAGCAACAACAAGCTGACCCACCTCCCAGAGGGCATATTCTCCAACTCGTACCAGTTGAAACGGTTTGATTTCGATAACAATGCCCTGCGTCGGGTTGATCGCCTCTGGACTGGAACACGCCATCAGTTGTTCCGTATCCAGCTGACCCACAACCGCCTGACGCTCATCCATCCATCCATTATTCCATCTGCCCCGAATTTGATCATTTTCCTCGTTGGGCACAACGTCCTGACTTCAACTGTTTTGTCTTCGCTGCATGACCATGCGCAGCTGGCTATTGTGGATGCCAGCTTCAACAGTATCTTGTCCATTCCGGACGATGCGCTGCGCAATATGACGCGACTACGGCAGCTATCCCTAACTGACAATCTTCTCACAAAGTTCCCAGCAAGGAAACTTCCGTCCCTCCTCTCCCTGCGCCTGAGCAACAACCCCCTCAGGGTTCAGCCAGATGTATCTCTTTATTCTCAACTTGACGAACTGGACTGGACCAACCACCGCATTCCACACCTGGACGCCACGCCCTTCCTCCAACTGCCTCGTTTGCACCGGCTGGAAATTGCAGCCGCCAAAGATGCGCCCCCGGCCACTTTGAGCCTGAGCAGCATCAGCAACCTTCAGGACTTGAATCGACTGAGTGCTGTGGACGTGCGAAATATCGATGCTGGCCCATTGTTCAGCATACTTAAAGGCAGGGTTGGATTTGCGCTGCGGGAGCTGTCCCTTGGCTGGAGCGGCATGGACGAGACCACCTTGTCTTTGACTGACATCTGTTTCTTTCTCTCGGACACCGTCACCCGCTTTGAGTTGTTTGACACCGGTTTCACGCACGTGCGCCTGTGCGATGGCGTCGCCTACGACGCCGTCTTCCTCCAAGACAACCTGCACCTGCAGAGCGTGAGCAGTGTCGGCGGTGTGCAGCAGCTCAACGTGTCCGGGTGTCCACGTCTGCAGCAGCTGCAGGTGCCGTCAGCAGAGGTGCTGGACATCAGTGGCACACGGGTGCCGCTGTTCCGTGGACTGTGCACGTCGCTGGGAACACGCACGGTTGTTGCACGCAACTGGCATACCCGAGATTTAAGCGACGAAGCGCGCTTGCAACAACTGCTGTCGCAGTGTTTGTTAACCAGTCGTGTGGATGTGCTGGACCTGAGCGACAATGCACAGCTTGACCAGCCAGGTGTGGTTGAGGATGTGGTTTCGAGCGTTGTGGTGCTGGGAGGAGACGGACAACAGATAAATGATGACTTTGCCCGCTTGGTTGGCCGAACATCGGTTGGCTTGCTGCAACTCGCGAATGCACCCATCACTTGCCAACTTCAGTTCCTTGACCTTCGCATTCGGCAATCAGGGCAAATTCGGCACATTCGCTTCCAAGAGCTGGGCTACTTCTACATGTGCCAGTGCTCGCAAGGGTATGAGCATCGCGGTGGACGCTGCCGTGTGATCGAGCGTGACAACACAGCAGCGGTGCTGGGCACGCTGGCAGGCGTAATTGCGCTTCAAGTGATTTTGCTCGTCATTTACCGGACATACAAGCGGCAGCGACGCCTGCAGACGGACAACGCGCTGAAGGAGAAACTGCTGGTGGAGCGAGACGCGGAGGTGATGGCGCTGAAGAAGGGGTGGGAGATCGAGTACGGCGAGCTGGAGATGCGGCGCCACATCTGCACGGGCGCGTTTGGCGACGTGTGGGAGGGGCGCTGGGACACGGTGAGGGTGGCGGTCAAGGTGATGAAGCAAGAGGTGCTGCTGTTTGACGAGACGACGATGCAGGAGTTTGAAAAGGAGGTGGAATTCCTGCAGCGGACACGGCACCCGCACCTGGTTCGCTTTTTTGGTGCTGGCAAGGACCCCAGCAACTCGCCCTTCCTGGTGCTGGAGTTTGTCGCCCTCGGATCGCTGACCGACCTGCTTGAAAGGGACTTGGACGAGTGGCTGGACCAGCGCCGTCAGCAACAGCAGCAGCAGCAGATGCAGCATGGCGGTGGCGTAGGCGGACTGCAAGATGACGATGCTGGCGGAGGCTGGGTCGATGTGCACCGGGTAGATGACGACGTTGCCGTGCATGCGGATGGTGCTTTGACGGCGTGGGACCTGAAGCAGCGGCTGGCAGGCGACATTGCCTGCGGCATGGCGTTTATCCACTCCCTCTACCAAGTCCACAGGTGTGTGAGAATGTGCGTGCGTGCTTGCGTGCGTGCGTGCGTGTATGCGTCTTTGTGTGTTTGTGTTTGCGTGTATGTGTATGTGTGTATGTGTGTGAATGTATGTACGTGAGTGTGCATGTATGTACGTGAGTGTGCATGTATGTACGTGAATGTGTATGTACGCGTGCGTGCGTGCGTGTATGTGTGCACGTCCAAACTTTGTGCTCACAACCTGTGGTTCTTGAGTCTCCCACAAGTGAAATACTCTTGCTCTTGTTCACTCGTGACATCATCCTTTCATTTCAACTCACGACTGATCGCTATCAACTCCTCTCCTTCCCTCCTCGTTTACAATGACACTTCCTTGCATGCGCCTTTTGAATGTTCCCTCCTATGCCCCCCCCCCTTATTTCCACGTGCAGAGACTTGAAGAGCGGCAACGTGCTGGTGTCGAGCGCGCTGCGTGGAAAGATTACGGACTTCGGGTCCATCCGCCAACGCCTGAAGCGCCACGACAGGCACGGAGGCAGCCAGCGGAGCTCCAAGGGCAAGTCTGGTCGCAGCACGAAGCGCCAGCAGTCCCTGTGGAGGAAGAAGAAGAAGAAGCAGCGTCCAATGCCTGCAGGCACCCTGCTCCGCTCCAACACCAACACCAACGACTTTGACAACCATGACGACTACGACGATGATGGTGCGGATGATGTGGCCGGCAGCGATCGCGGCGACACGAGCGAGACGCGGTGGCCGACGGATCGCGAGGGACACGAGCTCCGGTACTCGTGGGCCGTTGGCTCAAAGACGATGCACCTGAGCATGACGGCTGGCGTGGGCACGCCCATGTACATGGCACCTGAGGCCCTGTATGGGCGCGAATATGGGCAGAAGGCGGACGTGTTCAGCTTTGGCGTTGTGCTGTGGGAGATTGTGACGCAGCAGCAGCCGGACATTATTGCCCAAGAGTACGGCGACACCTTTGACGGTCCTTTGTTCCCCACCATCAAGCAGCTGCTCGAGGATGGCAAGCGCCTTCGCTTCCCAGGTGTGTGGTTGGGGGGTGTGTTGGTTTGGGTGTTGTGTGTGTGTGTGTGTGTGTGTGTGTGTGTGTGTGTGTGTGCGCGCGCGTGTGTGTGTGTGTGTGCGTGTGTGTGTGTGTGTGCGTGTGTGTGCGTGTGTGTGTGTGTGTGTGTGTGTGTGTGCCTCTGTGTGCGCTCATCCACCCCTCTACCTTGTTTTCACCACACAACGACGTGCACACGCGCCACAGACGATTCAGAGGCCTCGCCAGGATCGTCGTCGGCGCCAGCATGGTTCCGTGACATGGCCGCGGCGTGCATGGCGCAGACACCAAAGGACCGTCCCACATTCCAGGAGCTGGAAAAGAAGCTCCGCAGCACACAACCTCCTTCTTCTGCTTCTTCTGCTTCTGCTGTTTGAAGTGCTTACTTTTGTTCGTGTGTGGCGGTGGGATGATGTGTGACGTTGCGCTTCTTTGTTTCAGGTCTTGTTTTTTCGTTCGTTGTTGTTGGGCCCCTTTTTCTTTTTCGGGTTCTTTGTGCTCCGTTCACGCACAAGCACACGCACCAGCAACATCCACCATGATCTTGCTCCGCTTGCTTCTCATGCGCACGCTTGCGCCTGGTTATGTGATGTGACCTTGTTGCTGCTCTACGTTACTCTTCTTCTGTCTTGCTCGGGGGCGTGTCGCGAACATCGCTGCTCACAACACCAATGCAAATTCCATCACCAAATGGTTCCGAAGAGAGCCATCTGTCCTTTCTTAAAACCCTCACGCCACTACACCACTGCAAACCGGAAGAGAGCAACCAAGAGGTCATACAAACACCCTCAAACAGCAGCTGAACGCGCAGTCCGGCTACAGCCACGCTGATTTTTTGTGGTGTCGCTAACCGTTTGTTTGTTTTGCCCTTTATGATGGAGGCTTGTGACAACAGCGATCGCCGCCGTGATCGCCGCCGTGAGGAGGACAGGGCCGAGCGCGGCGAAGGTGGTGGTAGTGACAGTGGTGGTGGCGAGGGAAGATACAATGCTGCCTCGGACGAGCAGCAGCCTTTGCTGTCCTCTTCCTCGGCGAGCAGTACGAGCGGTAGCCCACGCACACCGTCGCAGGTGTATGCGGTGAGCCTGGCCTTCTTCGTGCTGTTTCTGGCATACAACTCGCTGCAGAACTACACCACGTCGCTGCTGCCAAACGGCCTCGGTAACCAGTCCCTGGCGATCCTGTACATCAGCGTGCCGTTCTTCTGTTTCACGGGACCCCCAATAGTGCAACGGCTGGGCGAGAAGTGGACCATGGTCCTTGGTTCATCCACATACATTCTCTTCATGGGGTCTCTCATCAAGGTGCGTGCATGTTGATGTGCCATGGTGTTGTTGGTGTTGGTGTTGGTGTTTGTGTTGGTGCATGCGTGCATCATTTGCTGCTGGAGTTGCACAGCTGCAAACGGCAATCGCCTCATTCCATGCTCGTGTGTTGATGTGCAGGTCATCCCCGCGTTGGTGAAGGCGGCATCTGTGGTGATTGGTGCGCCTTGACATCTTTTGTTTTCTCGTCGTTTGTGGTGACGTCTGCCACCATTCGAATCCGATTCTTCTTGGCCACCTGTCTGCTTGCCTGGTTGCTTATTACGCATGTGCTTCGCGTGAAGTAGGTGTAATGTAATCATTCACACACACACACACACACACACACACATACACACACACACACACATACACACACACACACATGTGCTTGCAGGGTTTGGAGCTGCGATCTTGTGGATTGCGGTGGGCCCATACATTACAAAGGCGAGCACAACGGACACCGTGGGTCGGAACAACGGCATATTCTGGGGCATCTTCCAGTTTTCCAATGTCATCGGCAACATTGGCGCCTACTTTATCTTCGATGTGAGTGGCTTGTGTGTGTGTGTGTGTGTGTGTGTGTGTGTGTGTGTGTGTGTGTGTGTGTGTGGTATTTGATGGTATTTGATGGTGTTTGATGGTGTGTGATGGCGTGTGGCGCTTCGAGACAAGTTTTTTGTGCATGTGTGTGCGTGGTGACTCCTCTCGCCTCACCATTCGCTGTCACATGCACCTGTTCGCCCGTGCAAACACGTGTCGCGTTTGTCTCAATTATGGCGCCACGTGCTGTCCATGCTGCCCATGCTTTTTCCACCTCAACCTCCCCACGACCGCACTCTGACCCATCCCATCCGACCTCTCCTTTCCCAACCCGCACCTGCTTCCTGTTGTTCGCCAACACTTGACATCAGAACCTTGGTGGGTCTACAGCGCTGTTTCTTGCCCTGACGGCGATTGGTGGGCTGGCCGTCATCATCTTCTGCTTCATCAAGCCAACCTCCAAATTCAGCACCCAATACCACCATCAAAACTCCGAAGGTACAGCCTGTATATGTGCCTGTGTATGCGTGCGTGTGCACGCTTGTGTGTGATTGTATGTGTGTGTGTGTGCGTGTGTGTGATTGTGTTTGAAGGGATTGCTGCTGTACCTCACGCACAATGTGCACACACACACACACACACACACGCACACACACACTGACATGTGCAGCGCTTCTCGAAGAAAAGAGGACTGTATGGGAGGATGTGAAGGCCACGCTCGTCATATTGCAAACGAATGAGGTTCGCACACAATCGCATGCTTGTGGCGTTCTGTGCTTGCACCCACCATGCGCCGCTCGCTCCCTACACATGCAACATGGGCAAACACATCCACGCACACACACACACACACACACACACACACACACACACACACACACACACACACACACACACACACACACACACGCACGCACGCACGCACATACACATACACATACGCACGCACACACACACATACACATACACATACACATACACATACACATACGCACGCACGCACGTCCCCACGTGCTTTGCAGATGCTGCTGCTGCTGTACATGTTTCTCTTCACGGGGCTCGAGCTTGCGTTCTGGAGTGGCGAATTCCCGCAGCTGCTGGATGCATCTGTCATCGGGCTTGTGCTGTGCTTTGCCGGCGTTGGCGAGATTGCGGGCAGCCTGTTCACCAACCGCCTGTCTGATCGCCTCGGCTGCTCCCTCATGCTCGGCGTTGGCGCTGTCGTCTACGCAGCGGGCCTCACCCTCGTCTCATTCATCCACGTGTGTGTTTGTTGTGTGTACATGAGTTGTGTGTGTGTGTGTGTGCGTGTGTGTGTGTGTGTGTGTGTGTGTGTGTGTGTGTGTGTGGTATGGTTGTGCGTGTTATTGTGTGCTTGTGAGCAGCTACATGCGTGTCCTTTGTTCTTGCACGTGAGCAACCAAGCGTAACGCACATCACATCAATCACGTCACTGCCAACCGTTTTCACGTTTCCATAACCTGAATCTCCCTCGCTCCTGCTTCCTCCCGCTGCAGCTCGATCCACCGGGAACCCGCCCACTCTGGAAGGGCGCATCATGGATGGCTTACGTCTCTGCCTTTGCCTTTGGCGTGGGTGACAGCTGTCTCAACACACAGGCAAGTGTGGTTGTGCGTGTGTGCATGAACGTGCGCGTGCGCATGTGGACTTTCTTGTGCATGTGCGTGTTGTTTGGTTACGTGTTTGCTCGACCTCTGGCACAACCTCACATACGGGCCCTCCTCTGTCCCTCTCTCCTTCCCTGAACCACCACCCCCCAACACACACGCATACACCCGTGCCCTTTGCACCCACGCACAATAGGTGTACGCCCTGTTGGGCAAGTTGACCAAAGGAGCGACAGCTGTCAAGGCGTTTACGGTGTTCCAGATTTTCCAAAACCTGGGGTCTGCCCTTGGGTTCTTTTTGGGCACGCAGCTGCCCATGCACGGCCACAACGCGTCACTGGCGCAGGTGTATATCCAGGCGCTGATCCTGTTGATCGGCACCGTGTTCTTCATTCGCGTTGACGTGCAGCATTCCCGCAAGACGAAGCGCAGACAACAGCAGGAGCAACAGGAGCAGGCAGCGCGTGAGGCAAAGTCAACCGACAGTCATCACCACGGTCATCACCACCACCACCATCACCACGACCACGACCACCACCACCATGTGGGTGTCAACAGGGCCAATGGCATGCATGCATGAGTCGTGATAGGATTCGATGACGCCATGTTCTTGTGGCGTCGTTGATTGATAGTGATAGTGAATCCACATCGGTTCTTTCTTTCTTTCTTTTTTGTTACTTTTTCTTCGACATGCTCGCGTTACATTAGCTTGTCTCAACAGGCCAGCCTGTGTGTGTTTGCGCTTGTGTGTGTATGTGTGTGTTTGCGCTTGTGCGTGTATGTGTGTGTGTGTGTGTTCGTGCGGTGTGTGTGTGTGTGTGTGTGTGTGTGTGTGTGTGTGTGTGTGTGTGTGTATGTGTGTGTCTAACAGCACCTGTCCACACCATGCATGCAGCACAGCAGCAAACCACCACATTAGTGAACACCATAAACGATAGTTTGCCTGAATTACATCCTGATTTTAGGGTGTCAAAATTGACGGCTGACCACTTGTTCTTGCGGCACCACAGAACCAGCACCACAGAACCAACCAACCAACCCATTCTTGATTGCTGCACCGTCTCTTCTCCCAACACAACACTGCTCACACCTGCAGCGGAGACAAACAGAGGTCAGGCGCAAGTTGTTGTTGGTGGAGGTGGCTGGGCTCGGCACCGTTGGGCTTGTGCGTTGGGTCGTGAGGAGGGACTGGATGGTTGGTGATACGTGTTGCCTGTTCATCGCATATCACCACACACGACAACAATACGTATCGCTTTTTTGTTGCTGTTGCTGTTGCGACAGCCATCATCCTATCACGCTCACACCCACGGCTAACACTCACATCCACGGCTAACACTCACACTCACACTCATATGTCTTCATTTTTTTTTCCTTGTTGTCCGCGCTCTTGTTGTCTGCATTTGCTTGATTGTTACGTGCCCTGCCACACCCATCTGCTCTGCCATCTACCCCCTCGCAGATGCTGTCATTGCACTCCACACGGCGGGCCGCAGCCCAGGCAACACGGCTGGCGGCATGCGTGAGCACAGCAGCCCGCAGCTCGTCCACCCTGCAGGACTCCGACCGCATCTTCCAGAACCTGTATGGCAAGCACGACTGGGGCCTCAAGGGCGCCATGAAGCGGGTAAGTGTGTAAACGCAAGGGAGGAGAGAAGGCAAGCCGTGTGGTGATGGGGGGCATTGTCAGCGACACTAGCACCGAGCTTTATGCATGCGTGCACGTGTACAATTCCGTGGTTGGCTCCACGGGTGTGTTGACAGCAGACCGGTGCTCACGCTACACGGGTGCTGCTGTTGCCTGGTTGTTGTGCAGGGCACATGGTACAAGACGAAGGACATTGTGCTCAAGGGTGATGACTTCATCCTTGAGGAAGTGAAGAAGTCCGGCCTGCGCGGTCGCGGCGGTGCTGGATTCCCCTCTGGCCTCAAGTGGTCTTTCATGAAGGGTGCCACAGATGACCGACCAAAGTACCTCGTCGTCAACGCAGATGAGGGCGAGCCTGGCACATGCAAGGTCTGTCGTGTGTGTGTGTGTGTGTGTGTGTTTTGGGGCGGGGGGTTGCGTGCGTGTGTGTGCGTTTCCGGTGCAGGGGTGCGTTTGGTTTTTGAGGTGATTGTCGTGTGTTGTTGGTTGTGTTTGTGTTGATTCTTGCGCATTCGTTAGCGCTATTTCTCCATGTGCTCAATGTGAGCGCTCATCCCTCCACACACACATACATACACACACACATACACACACACATGCAGGATCGCGAGATTATGCGCCATGATCCACACATGCTGATTGAGGGCTGCCTGGTGGCCGGCCGCGCCATGAACGCGCGTGCGGCATACATCTACATCCGTGGCGAGTTCTTCCAGGAGGCAAGCAACCTGCAGGTCGCCATCAACGAGGTATGCAGCCCTGTGTATGGCTTGCGTATGTATCCAACAGCCCGACATTGCCCCTTCCATGCGCGACCCCACACGTAAAATCTCTGCATCTCATCACGCTCATCATCATGCACTGCACTCACTCTTCCTTCTCCTTTGTGCGTGCTTCGCTCTCTTCCGTTCTTCGCCGCACGACTGCAGGCGTACGATGCGGGTCTGATTGGCAAGAACGCGTGCGGCAGCGGCTATGACTTTGACGTCTACCTCTTCCGCGGTGCTGGCGCATACATTTGCGGCGAGGAGACGGTGCGTGCTTGTTGTGTGCTCTATCGGGGACTCTGTTGGCCACATGGGGGCATGACGTGGCAGTTGCCGTGGCAGTGAGGTCTGGGTCGTCGCTGTGAATTACTTTAACGAGTGAATATATGCGCGCGCGCGCGTGTGTGTGCGTGTGTGTGCGCGCGTTGGGAAGCACTGTTTCAACGACTTACCCAATTCTTCCACATTCACACCACCTGCGCATTCCCATACGTTCATGATCATGTCCTTTTTACCTTTCTAACGTACTCGCATGCACCTATGTCTCACCCCCCCCCCCAACTACAGGCGCTGATTGAGAGTCTTGAGGGCAAGACGGGCAAGCCACGCCTGAAGCCGCCATTCCCTGCAAACGTTGGTCTCTTTGGCTGCCCGACCACCGTTGCCAACGTGGAGACGGTTGCCGTCGCCCCCACCATCCTGCGCCGCGGCGGTGACTGGTTTGCAGGCTTTGGTCGCAAGCGCAACGAGGGAACAAAGGTGCGCGTGGTTGTGTATGTTTGTGGTTGTGTGCGTGGTTGTGGATGTTTGTGGTTGTGCATGTGTGTGTGGGTGTGTGCGTGGTTGTTTGTGTGTGTGCGTGTGTGTGTGGTTGTGTGCGTGTGTGCGTGTGTGTGTGTGTGGTTGTGGCGAGTAATTCATGGTAATCATTGAGGACGAGATGGTGTGGGGCTGAGTTGGATGTGACACTGTCTTTGTTGTGCGTTGTTCCTTGACCACCAATCTCACGGCATCCCTCCTGCGCTTTCACCATGCCACGACTGCAGCTGTTTGCCATCTCTGGAAACGTGAACAACCCGTGCGTGGTTGAGGAGTCCATGTCCATCACGCTTCGCGAGCTCATTGACAAGCACTGCGGCGGCGTGACTGGCGGCTGGGACAACCTGCTTGGTGTCATCCCTGGTGGCTCGTCCGTGCCCGTGCTGCCCAAGCACATTTGCGACGACGTGCTGATGGACTTTGATGCGCTTGCAGCGGAGAAGTCTGGCTTGGGCACGGCTGCCGTCATTGTGATGGACAAGAGCCAGGACATTATTGACTGCATCGCCCGCCTCAGCGACTTCTACGTCCACGAGAGCTGCGGACAGGTGTGTATTTGTGTGTGTGCGCGTGTGTCTGTATGTGTGCGCATGTATCTGTGTGTGTGCGCATGTATCTGTGTGTCTGTGTGTCTGTGTGTGTCGGTGTGTGTCGGTGTGTTTCTGTGTGTCTGTGTCTGCGAGTGGAAGTTATTTCATGTGCATTTCTTCACCTGCTTATTCTATACGCATGTCACATGACGTCCCAACACCTGCCCATCTCACCTTCTCCCCACCACCCCACTTCAACTTCCCGCAATAATACCACGTGTGCGTGCAGTGCACCCCCTGCCGTGAGGGCACGACGTGGCTGGCGAAGGTGATGCACCGGTTTGTGCGCGGCGACGCCGACAAGGAGGAGATTGACATGCTGTACGAGCTGACGCGGCAGATTGAGGGCCACACCATCTGTGCGCTGGGCGATGCTGCTGCGTGGCCGGTGCAGGGCCTCATCCGCCACTTCCGCCCGGAGATTGAGGCGCGCATTGACGCGTACAACAAGTCCAAGGCCGACGCCATCCTCGACGCCGCCACCGCCTGAGCTCCGTGATCGTAGTCGTGGTCGTGGTGGTGGTGGTGGTGGCTGGTGAATGATGGCGGTGCTGATTCGGGTTGGTGGGTGCGATGGTGACAATTTGGGTGCACACGCATGGGTGCGGATGTCATGGTTTGGTGTGCTTTGAGGGACTGATTGTGGTGATGCATGCACGTGGTGCGGGTTGAAGTCAGTTTTTCACTGCTCCTTTGCTTTCGCAATTCGACTTGTGTCCCTTCCTCCAATCGCCCCATTTGTGTGTCTTGCCGAGTTTGAAAGCGTGTGTGAGGATCGCCAGGTTTTATGTGTGTGTGTGCGTGCGTGCGTATGCGTGTGCATTTGTTGTTGTGCTGTGGTTGTTGTTTCATCGAACGTCCTTCATAATGCGGTGCAGTCATTTCGTGATGGCGGTGTTGCGTGTATGTGTGTCTCGTGTATGGCGTAGCTTTCCTGCTTGTGTGGCGGGGTGCGTGTG